CTTTTTTAACTTGTTGATAAGTTATGCTGATTTTTTTCCTCTCTAAAAACACCCTATTTGTTATACAGGATGGATGGATTCCTGGGAGGGGGAGAAGGTGGAATGTTTGGGGTAACTATGATGATGTAAGAAACAGAAGCTGTCAAGAAAAATTTATTTTTTAGAAAGAAAACAAATAGCTGGGTTCTTGATGGCACACTGGAGGGGTGGGAGGTGCTCAGCAGATAGGGACTATGAATCCCAGGGAATAGCAGAGTAGGAGATGGTCATTCTGCCCTTCCTGGGTTTTCAGAAGGACCAAGTGATCAGAAGAGGAGAGGTGATGGCACTGATCAGGAGGGATTGGGGTAGGGAAGAAACCTGTAATTTCATTGACATAGGAAACTTCCACGTGAGGAACTCCCTCTACCAAAGCAGGTTGGCAACTTTTCTGCAATTTATAGTCTTTGAGAGTTGCCCTTGGCACCGAGGATTTAATTGATCAGCTCCGGGTCACACTGTCCATAGGCTCAACTTGAACCTAAGTCTTCTTGGCTTTGGGCTGGCTTACTAGGTCATGCTGTTTCTCCTCACATAAACAAGACTGGGGGGTGCAGGCGGACCTTCGCTCCATCATGGTCCTTCAGGGAGGCTGTGGTCAGGAGGCAGCACCTGGACATCTCACTTCAGCATTTCTCTCTCCTGTGGTCACAGTGGGGCCAAGCAAGGGCAAGGATGGTGCATGTTCTCTCCTTTATAGTCTGGCCCCCACCTCCCTGATGGGGAGGGGGCCTAGTGGCTGAAGGGAAGAGGAGAGAGCCTTCTAGTATGAAGACCTCTGACCCCAGTTCCTGGGGCAAGTGATAGGGAAGACCATACTGCTCCTCATCTTCTGTATGCTGCACAAAAACTGCATGTTCCCTCCTCCAGACCTTTGCCTTACTGTGCCTGCTGTCCCCTATGCCTGGAACGCTCTCCCTTCTCATCTCTACCTCCTGACTTTTTTGAAGTCTCAGCTAAAATCCCACCTTCTCTGCAAGAAGTTTTTTTCAGTCCTCCTTAATCTTAGTACCTTTCCTCTGAGACTATTACCAATTAATCTACAAATGCTGGCTTCAGGAATTCTTATATCTTGTCCTATTTTGGAGTTACTTTGAGCACACCTATGCCATTACATCAAATTTTTGTTTGTGTTCCCTCCCTGCAGTGTGTGTGTGTGTGTGTGTGTGTGTGTGTATGGAGAGAGAGACAGAGAGAGAGATGGAGGGAGAGAGAATGGGAAAGAAAGAGAGAGAGAGAGACAGAGATAGAGACAGAGAGAGACAGAAAGACAGAGAGACAGAGAGAAAGGAGAGAGAGAGAGAGAAGGAGGAGGGAGGGAAGAGAGAAAGAGAGATGATGGGAAGGAGGGAAGGAGAGACAGAGAGAGATTGTATTTGCATGTTGTCTTTCCCATTAGATTGTGAGCTCCTTGAGATCAGGAACTATCTTTTGTGTTTCTTTGTTACCCAAGCACTTAGCACAATGCCTGACATATAGTAGATGCTTAGTAAATGCTCCTTAAAGACTTGAAATGACTTTCCCATCCTCCTAGAATTCCTATAAAGGCCAACTTCAGTGCCACCTCTTCTAGGCGGCCTTCTTATTCAGGTCATCCCGGAGTCCTTTGCCCTTCTGGGAGCCCCTTATACCCTGTTGGGTTTCAGGGAGACTGATGGCTTCTGACCCCTTGCCAAGGCTGCAAGCCCTGTCTTGGCATCTCTCTGACAGTGAGCCCTTTGCTCTTATGGAGAGCAGGGTGGAGCAGCGGGCAACACTCCTCAAGAGGAAGAGGAGTCCGAGATGGCGACGGGCTCCCTCTGAGGTCAGAGAGGAGCAGAGAGGGATGTAACAAGCATCCGTAACTAGTTCTACCATTCTCTCCTGGTGTCCTTCTCTTTTGGTTTCATAGGCTCCTTTGCTGGATCTTCATCCAGGTCACCAGCTGACTCCCCCAGTGCTCTATCTTCTCCTTGAGAATGATTATTTCTCTCTTATATTAATAGCTAATTATTGGATCAGGACCAAGGTTTTCTCCTTTTCTTCTTCCTCATCCAGAAATCAACCAGTGTGGGAAATCTTGCTCAAAGACTTACCCAGGCTAAGATCTAATAAGACAATAAAAGAAATTCTAAGTTTAGGCTAATGGCTGGATCCCTGCTCACTGTGTTTACTCAGACAGATCTTGGAAAATATGGATTCTCCCTTTTGTCAGGTAGGTGATATGGAAACTGATAAGTCTCTTTGACCAAGACTTGGGTGATCCCAGACATGTACCCCAAGATCTTCATTGTAGTGTAGTCCACCTTCCATTATAATATTCATTCTCTCATTGACTGTTAACTAGTCAGAGTTGATTGCCACCCTTAGAACACCTGCTCTTCCAAGGGCATATAAACTGTGAGTCCACCATGAAGGGTCTTTGGCATTCCATAGTGCCACTTACCTTTTATTAAAATGCTGGCATTATTTATAAAATGGTTAAATTATCTGAAATTATGTCTCTCAAACTTTTAACATGCCACATCTTCCTCTAGGCTATCTTGCTTGGTGATGTCATCAGCTCCCACGGGCTCAGCCATCATCTCTATGATGGTGATTCTGAAAGCTATTTATCCAGTCTTAATCCCTCTCCTGACTTTCAGTCTCAAATTTCCTATTTCCTATTAGTCATCAAAAAGATTGCATGTCCAGTAACTCAACGAGGACAAACCTGAACTCATTATCTTTCTCCCTAAAGCCTCCCGCACCTCCTAACTTCCCTGTTACTGTTAAGCAACATCTTCCCTGTCACCCAGGCTTGCAACTAAGTTTCAGCCTTAACTCTTCAGTCTCTCTCATCCCCCACATCTAACCTGTTGCCAAATCCTGTCAATTTTATCTTTGTAACATCTCTCCTGTATACCCCTTCTTTTTGCTCTGAGATTGCCCCCACCCTAGTGCAGATCCTCATCACCTCATGCCTGGACTATTGCACGAACTGCTGCTGGGTCGGCCTGCCTCAAATCTCTCCTACTCCAATCCATCTTCCCTTCAGCTGTCCAATTGCTCTTTCTAAGGTGCAAGTCTGACCATATCATTCTTCCTAAGCAAACTCGGGTGGCCCTCTATCACTTTCAGGATCAAATACAAAATCCTCTGTTTGTCCTTTAGAGTCCTTCATAACCTGGCCTCTTTCTTACCAATTTTCTTAGACCTTAATCCTCCCATCCACCCCTACATCCCCACATGTATATACTCTATGATCCAGTGACACTGGCCTCTTTACCATTCCTCAAACTAGACACTGCATCTCCCAACTCCAGGCATTTGCACTGGCTGTGTTCCCTGTCTGGAATGCCCTCCCTTCCTATCTCCATGTCCCAGCTTCTCTGGCTTTCTTCAAGTCCCAGGTACTTTCTACAGGAAGCCTTTTCTGATCTACTCTCTCCCACCCCCTTCTCCTCCCCTGCTAGTACTACTGTCTATGTATCTAAAGACAGGTCTACTGTTTATGTATCAGCAGTTACCAGTTACAATGGATAAATCTCCAAGCTTGGAGTCAGGAAGACCTGAGTTCAAATGTGGCCTCAGCTACTTACTAGCTATATGACCTTGGGCAAGTCACTTGACCTCTGTTTACTTCAATTTCCTCAGTTATAAAATGGGGATAATTATAGCACCTACCTCCTAGTATTGTTGTAAGGATCACATGAGATAATTGTAGAGTGCTTAACATAGTGCCTGGCACATGGTAAAAGCTATACAAATAGAAAGTAATATAACTATAGATACATATAGCTACTATATATGTGTGTGTGTATATGTATACACACACATATATAGTAGCTATATATTATTACTATGTATACCAATATAACAAATAGTAATAGCTATATAAATGTTAGTGATTATCTTGTATGCACACAGTTAGCTGTTCACCTGATCTCTCCTCTTATTAGAATGAACTCCTGGAGTGCAGGGATTGTTTTTTGCCTTCCTTTGTATCCTCAGAGTTTAGAATGGTGTCTGGCACACAGTAGATATTTAATAAATGCTTTTCGATGATGATGGATCCAGAATTTCAGCACCGATTTCCATCAGGCTGCCTGTACCTTCCTGTTCGCCTTGCCCAGCCTGCATTTTTCTGCCCAGATAGCTGACACTTTGTTGTAAACCCAAAGCCTGAGGTCTCCCCTGAAGGGGAGAGGGGAAAGATGGGGGCTGGTGGAAGTTCTTGGGAGGCAAGATGCACTGTGGGCTTTTAGCAGAAAAGAATAGGACAGCTGAGTAGCAGGCATAACCAGGCTCCCAGCCACCGTGGGGCAGCATGAATCTGTGGCAGGCCAAATCTTCAGGGTTTGGGGGGAAGGGGACGCAGCAGAGCGGGGGTCTGTTGGGCAAGAGGGGCTGTTGTCAGTCAGCTTCTGACAGTGACCTCACCCTTGGCCAACCCTTGGGTTGGCAATAAGAAGGGCATCCCAGGGAAGGCCTCCAATCATCTCCTTTCCCAACCCCAAGACTTCCCCAGAGACTTGCTGTCCACATAAGTGAAGGAGGATGAAAGAGGGATCCAGCCCCTATAGTTCCTGGATCTCCAGGGATACCTAGTTCCCATGTGCACTTCCCAGGAGGTTGGAAGGACCCTACTGGAGGGAAGAGAGAAAGGTCCCAGTTGCTGGGAAGAGACCTGGGAACAGAGAACAAAGCAGGAGTGAATTAGGAGGCTCTAACTCCAAATACACAGGCCTTTATTCTGTATGATCCCAAGACTCAGGGACCTCAGAGAGTTCAATCCTACCATCCTACAGATGAGGAAACAGAGAGGGAAAAGGCCCAACCCACAGGTAGCAAACGGCAGGACCAGAACTTGAATCCACAGCTTCTGACCTCATATCAAGGGCTTTTCCCTAAACCTTGATGCCTCAAATCAAATCCTTTCACAACGTGACAGCTGATCTGACTCTCCCCCCCCCACCCGCCCCAGATCTTCTTTTCTCCAGGCTAAATATGCCCAATTCCTTCAATGACTCCTCAGGTGCCATGGATTCCAGGCGCTTCTCCATTCTGATCACGCTCCTCTAGCTCTTCAGCTTATTGGTGTCCTTCTTAAACATGGTACCCAGTGACTGGACTTTTGGGGATGTTACTGGGAGGTCCTCACTCAGGTACAGATTTGTTTGATTTGGGCCTTCTGTGGTCCCTTCTAGCTTTGGCCATCTATGGCCTTGGGCTTAAGTTGGGGGAAGGAGAAGCCAGAACAGAGCTGCCCATCTGCGGTTAGACTGGGGGATTGATTCCTGGCAGGAAGGTGGACAGACTATGCCTGTTTCAGGGTCTAGGAGTCTGGAGTGGGGAGGCTCAGTAACTGGCCTGAGGTGGATGGGGCTCTGGCCCCTCCCTCATGGCTGTTGGGAGTGGACCTGCCCTCACATTACTGCCCTTTTGCCAGTCATCTTCAGTTGGCTAGAGAGGCTGCTTCTTAGCAGGAATGGGTATCTCAGTCATTGGCATGAACTGGATGGAGCGCCCATCCATCCCTGATGGATGAGTATGTGTGGGCATTTTCTGGCCCCAGCTGTCAGAGTACACAAGACAACAGGCCACAGCAGCAACATTGGTTCATTTGGGGGCACCTTCCTCTGACGCTTTCCAGATTACAAAGTGAGGCCGCCTCTCAGCGGCCCTGGAAGGTCAGCAGTACTATGGACAGTTACTCCCATTGTGCAGAGGAGGACTCCTGTTGGCTCAGAGAGGGAGAGGGATTTGGTTATGGTCGTGGCTAGGAGGGGGCAGGAACTTGGCCTCCCAACCCTGTATTCTTTCCTGTCCCCTCCCCACTCACCCACTGACTGTGGCTGGTGCTCAGCTACAGTGGAGTGGGGAGCTCCAATGGGGCACTACGCAACGCCTAGAGGCTGGCTCCCATGCCAATGGGGATCAGGGCAGATCTTATCCCATCCCAGAACTCCTGGACCTTCCTGAGCCAGTGGCCCTCCCTCAGGGCATAAATAAATAACTTATGTAATAAATAGCTGCCCCAGGTGCCTAGGGCCTGGCTCTACTCAGCCTTAGGTGTGGCCCAGGGTCACAAGTAATGCCTTTCCCCAGGCTCCTCTGGCACTCTGTGGTTGCCCTTCCAAAGGCCTGAGGGCTTGGCCCCTGGCAGCTGTCCCTCTCTTCTGCTCCCAGGGTCCAGCAGGCCTTTTGGAGGGCTTCTCCACTGGCTGCCTGCCCAGCTGTCCTACCCAGCTGGCAGGTGGGTAGGTCAAGGCCCAGGGAGGTGGGCTGCTAATGGCTTTGGGCTCTAGGAGAGGGGCCATTGGCCCTCAGCCTAGGCACCCACAAGCAGCAGCAGAGAGGCTGTCCACTGTCCTCCAGGTGTTGCTGACGTCCATGAAGGAGACGGCTTTGTAGGCTGTGGGCCGGCAGCAGGGATGGCTAAGCACCCGCACAGAGCCTCTCCCGGACTGGGCAGGGAGGCGTAGACGGCCAGAGCGCAGCAGGTGTGCCAAGCTGATGTCATGGTTGGAGCGGACCTTTGGGCAGGCCCCGCTGCAGTACTGGAATCGGATCAGCTCATCAGAGTCATGGCCCAGGCCCAGCTCATGCACCTTCACCAGTTCTGTGCGCAGGTGGCAATCTAGCTTTGCCCTCCTATGGCCTTGGCTCTGATTCTGGCCTCGGCCTCTTTCCCGTTGGCTGGGCTTGACCTGGGCCTGGACCTGGCCCTGTAGCAGGGGTGACAGCACTGGCTTTGGCCCTCGACCTCCTCTCAGGGGCTTGGGGGTGCTTGGGATTGTCTCTGAAAGAGAGGAACAGAGTCCTTGGTGGGAACCCACACCAGACTCCTCCCAACCCCACCCCCAAGCTTTCATCTCTTTTGGACCCCAGGAACCTGCAAAGGAATCTGGTAAGTCCTGTTATTCCCCTCTTTCCCCTTTCCATGCTTCTACCCCTAGAATTCACTTACCGGGCAGGACCTGGGCACCAGGTTTAAGGGTTCCAATGAGGGGCACCCTAGGGCCAGGGCTGCAGAGGGCCAGGGGCAGCATCAGTATCAGCATTAGCATGAGGAGGGCCCCTAGGACTGGGCTCAGACATAGGGGTGCCTACAGGAGGGAGGGAGGAGATGTAAGTGTGTAGGGGACAGGGGGGACAGGGTCATAGCTAGGAGCCTTCCCCATTAGCTGAAGCCCCATCTCCAAGCACAAATTGCCTTGTGCCTCCCTAGCTTCCCCTCCTGCCAGCTCCTCCAGAGCCCCTCCAGAAGTTCTGCCCATCCAAGGCTTTTCCAAGCTGGCTCTACCCCTCTCCATTTTCCCCACTCATTCTCTTTTTTCTGGTCC